ATTCCCCCAAAATCCACATGTTGAAGCCCTAACTTCTAATGTGACTGTATTTGGAGATAAGGGCCTTTAGGGAGCTAGATTGAGTGAGGTCATAAGAGTGGGGTCCTAATCCAGTAAGACTGGTGTCCACAGAAGCAGAGGAAGATGGCACCAGTGCAGAAGCACATGTGCATGTGAGCTTGCTCTCTCTCACACACATCACACATGCGCACATACAGAGAGGAGGCCACGTGAGGATATGGTGAGAAGGAAGCCATCTGCAAGCCAGGAAGACAGGCCTCACTCAAAACCAATCCTGCTGGCACCTTGAACTTGGACTTCTAGTCCCCAGAACTGTGAAAATAAATTTCTGTAGTTTAAGCAATGAAGTCCGTGGTTTTCTCTTATGGCAGCCTAAACAGACTAACACAGGGGTACGTAAGTGAAATGAAGTCAGATGACTGAGAACGAAAAGGTCAGAAATTTAAAGAGGAAAGGACAAATTAAGTACTGATAAATTTAGAAAGGAATAAAATGACGAGAGAACAAAGAAAAGGCTAAGCTCTGAAAAAAAAAGCACTGATAAATTATAATCTTAATCTATCTGAAGTACACCCTTTTGGCCTTGTCTCCAAGGAATCTATTAAAATGTTTTCACTTTCAAGTAAAAATTCAAATGTCTGTGGAGGCCGGGGTGATAAGGTGAGCAAAAGAAGCAAGCCAAGGATAATACAGCAGGGAGACAATGGACTGTGGCAAACTGGAGAGGGGATGACCCATCTAAAGGGACAGTCCACCATCTCAGCTCCAGGTGATGGATGCGACGAGACAATGTGGAATGTGGTTCAGAACTCTGGATTATTTTCAAGAGAAGTCAGAAATCTGCATTTCTTTTATGTGATTTTTAAAAAACATTTGGGCAGCTGATAAAATCACACACACACACACACACACACACACACACACACACACACACACAATGACCCAATCCAAGCTGCAATCTGGCTCACAAGCCCTGACTTCTGACCTCTGTTCCAGTCACAGACATTGCTCGTCTCAGGGTGTCCCATGAGCTTGCATACCTTTGTGCCTTAGTTCCTGCTATCCTCTGATCTCTAGGTCCTTCTCCTCTTGTTCGTCCTGTCTCCACATGGTCTTCAAGTCTTAAATGTTGTCTTACATCTTTGGCTTTCCCTGACTAGTATAGGAAGGTAAGACCGAAGTGATCCTCTTTCCCCCTTTATCTCTCACAATCTACATACTGTCTATCAAAAAGCTACCTGGAAAAAACATAGAACATCTGACCTTTTGCTTGCAGCCAAGGGACCAGCTTTACTATTTGTTTAAAACAACCAAAAAAACTGAACAAAATATATGAAAGAACAATTTCAAGATACTGAATCACAGGCAATGAAGGACAATGATCCCTGAGAGACAGACACTAAACAAGATGAGCACTATGACCCCCCAGTTTACCACGTCAAGAGCTTCTAGGCCAAGGTGCAGAAAGGTAAAAACCCAGGTGGAGCCTGGCGGATCGCTTTGTGAGAGCTAAGAGCCTAGGGAAACCAAGGTGGCTACAGTTCACAGTGACGGAGAGGAGAGACAGCTTCCTAATGAGAGAACTTCAAGATCTGCCAAGCGTTCCCCTCAAGTATTCAGCAGAGAACTGATGAGTGCATATATCTAAGGAAACTACCTGAGGCCAGGAACAGTGCTTACTCCCACTAGCAATGAACAGAAACTGTCCCTGAGGAAGACCAGACATTGGACTTACTAGACAAAGACTTGAAATCCACAATTAAAAATACATTCAAAGAACTAAAGGAAACCATGTCTAAAGAACTAAAGGAAAGTAAGAACAATGTTTCACTAAATAGAGAATATTAATACAGAAACAGAAATTACAAAAGAAAGAAGTAATACTAAATCTGTATGAATTCTTTCAGAAAACTGAAGAGGTGGGAATTCTTTCCAACTTGTTTCATGAGGCCAGCATTACCCATTACCAAAACCAGACTAAGATATTACAGGAAAACCATATAACCATATTCCTCATGAACAAAATGCAAAAAATTCTAAATAAAATTTTGGCAAATCAAATATAATAATTTATAAAAAGGAAAACATAGCACTACTAAGTAGGGTTCTTCTCAGGCATGCAAAATTGGTTTGACATTTGAAAATCAATGTAAGTCACTATATTAACAAAT